CCCCTTCCCCTCCACTCCTCCCCCCCTTTCCTTCTTACCCCACCCGACTCTCTTCCTTCCTTTTTCCCAGTACGCCGTGTGCCCCCTCGTTTCTCTATCTTACCCTCCAGTCATGAGATCATGCCTGGGGGGAGCGTCAACATCACCTGCGTGGCTGTGGGCTCGCCCATGCCTTACGTCAAGTGGATGCTGGGCAACGAGGACCTGACCCCGGAGGACGAAATGCCCATCGGGAGGAATGTGCTGGAGCTGAACGGGGTCCGCGAATCGGCCAACTACACCTGCGTGGCCATGAGCAGCCTGGGGATCATTGAGGCCTCTGCTCAGGTCTTGGTCAAGAGTAAGAGCCCCGCAGATCTTTGGACWCCCTTGATTACGTTTCCTCATTTATGCTCCACGTGTTAAACATAAGGCCCGCAGGCCAAATGCGGCCCGCTGGTGACTTCCGTCCGCCCTGCCAAAAACTTTTTTATGTCAATGGTAAACTTTAAATTTATGATTCTTTGCAAAAAATAAACAAATTGAAAAGACGAAGGATAACAATATTTTCCCTGTCCCTGAGCTGTTGGCTTTGAATTGTGGCCCCCTAGCTTTGTAATAACTTCTCAAAATAAGCTGTGTTAAAGTCAGCATTGACCATAAACTACATGTCCCATAATGCARGTCTGTTAACATGAGAATTTCTTGTCAGAAAGTGAGAGAGTTCAGAATTCAAAACTTACCACAACTCAGTGAAAATGAATTTGACCCCCCTGATTTATGCTGTTCAGGAAAAGATGTAGATCAGCCACTCTGAAAGACACACTAGTGGAGACTTAAAGACTAGTTTACAAGATTTTAACATTAAAGGAGACATGTCGTGTAAAATTCACTGTTTTAGTAGTTAAATACATTTTCTTGTGTACTTGGAGTCTCTAGGAGTGCAGAAAAGATATCATTATATTCAGTTTGGGTCACATTTTTCAACCCGTTCAGTTTTCTCTATTTTCTATGACTTTTTCGGAACTATTATGTCAAAGTTTTTGAGACAGAACTGCCAAATACGGTCTGGATTTACCATTTACAGTTTGGCTGTCTTCATTCTCCTTTGGCTTTGAGTCAGACTCTAACATAAGACTTGATAGACAAGTCTTCACATGTTGACATTTAATTAATTTGTAAATGAAACGTTTCTGCGCCACAAGATAGTCGTAAACCTTTCAATCAAACCAGAATGGACCTCTCTGGAAGCTGGAGGGGGTCGAGGTGTGAAGTGCCTCACTTGGATTTAAAGAAACAGACTCAAAACGTTGCTTTGAGACAAACCTCAGAAAATGTGTGAAATACCGTAGAAGCTGGAAAAGATAAAATAAAGAGGAATTCAGACCAAAGCATTGCAGTTCCACTTTATATAGATCCCAACTGAATTATTTAAATGTGAAAAAAATGGATTTCAAAGCATATGTCTATTTTAAGCTTAAAAGATATGCATTTTCAGTGCTTTTTTTTCTAAATTGTAATTTTATCTTGGGAAAATGAACTGCCCTTTATAAAAAAAAGAAACAACCAGTTTGATTTAATTGGTCGGCTCCACAGGCCTGAACACTCAGCCCACCTTAACAGATTACACTAGTGACAGCATTTTTTAATGGAACAATAACTAAATACTGAGTAAACTCGTTCTTAACACTCTCATAGTTTTTTGTTTTAAAAAACCTTTATTCGAACATTCGAACATGGTACAAAAAATAGCAATGCTGCCAGGGAGAATGAAGAACTACGAATGAAAAAAGAGGAAAAAATATGTATAAATATATGTAATAATAATAATAATAATAATAATAATAATAATAATAATAATAAAAAAAAAAAAAATAATAATAATAATAATAATAATAATAATAATAAACATTAAATAAAATGATTACACCACAAAAAAGAACCAATCACGCCAAAGTTAAATCAGGAATTCCAAAAAGTGACCAAGACATTGTAATATTTTTTGCCTTCTGATTAGTAGAGAAGTGAATAGATTGCATATATTGTGTAAACTCAATCATGAAGGAGATAAAATTTGTTTCATTCTTTAAACATTTGCTTTTACATATATGAAATTTGGCCTAACAGCGACTGGTAGCTACCGGCGTTTGATGACGTAATCCATACTGTCCCAATTCTCAGTTGTTTTGCATGCTTGTAACCTGCACACTAGGGTTGGGTGATATTGGCAAAAAATTTATCACGATTAATTGTGGTATTTAGCCAATAACAATTAATTTAACGATTAATCCCCTGGAGTCCCTGGACACCCTTGTGTCCCAGTCACATGACCAATTTAGTGGAAAGATTTGCTCTTCATAAAAATCTGTTCCAAATTGTGTCAAAATTACAAACTTCAGGTTATACTTCAAATTTTAAATTGTGTTGATAGATAAATAAATTACAGAACATTTTTTTAAATGTTCGTCATATTTGAAGCAGAGGGTCACCGAGCGGACTCTGCCTGGTGCCATTAATCGTATTAATCGTCAAGTGCCAAAAAATAATCAATTAATGTTTTTCTGAGGACTAATTGCACACGATATGATTATGCCCAACCCTACTGCGCACTCGAACACTTATGTGCACTTCGACTGAATCCACACTTCACAGAGGGGCGTAGGATGCGCACTGAGCATTGGGACTGGGCCAATATGGTGTCTTCTAATGGTGTCTAACATAGTGGAAGAGTTACTTTGATAAAGTTTTTGAGTTTAAAAATCTCCATCTAAATTCACTACAACACTCCACTCTTTTGCCTTCGAGCAATAAAAATGCCATAAGTTCAGACTACAAAACTATCAGCAAATCTGAAAACAAGAAAATATCAGCAACAAAATCTACAAGCATGTCCAAAAGAGTGAGACAGATATGATAAAAATATATTTGAAAAATGGGTAAAACCAGCTGAATAGTTCATAATCAGTCTAATCCTGTTCATCTGCTGTCTTTGTGATCTACAGCGTTACCAAAGCCTCCTGGGACACCCATTGTCACAGAGACCACAGCCACCAGCATCACCATCACCTGGGACTCGGGCAACCCCGACCCCGTCTCCTACTACATCATCCAGTATCGAGCCAAGGGGCCGGACAGCAAGTACGAGACGGTGGACAGCATCACCACCACCCGCTACAGCATTGGTGGTCTCTACCCCAACACCGAGTACGAAATCCGAGTGTCGGCCTTCAACAGCATCGGTCAGGGACCCCCCTCCACCCGTGTGGAGGCTCGCACCGGAGAGCAAGCCCCTGCCAGTCCTCCCAGAAACGTCCTTGCCCACGTTATCGCTGAGAACAACGTGATGGTTCGCTGGGAGGAGCCAGAAGAACCCAATGGACAGGTGGGTGAAGGACTGATCCTTTTTTTATCCCTTTTTTAGGATAAAATTCATTYTGTTGTTGTTATTCTTCTGCTGTCGCTTAGAAAAAAAAAATCAAAGAGCAGTAAATCTCTGCACCAAAGCTTGTCTTATTCAAACTGTAACACAAAACTGTTAAAGCCAACATAATTCACTGACCAGCCAAGTCTTATTTTACACCGTCTGTTATCCCCGAGCATAAGCCTTTCAGCTTTTTAGTAATGTCTGTCGCCATAGTAACGTTGTGAGAATATATATATGAAATCAATCAGAAACATAAAATGACACCAATATATCCAGTTTCTGTAGTCGCTCCATCCTCTTCAGGGATTCGGGGAGCTGGTGTCAACAAGTGAGGGGCGTGGCCCATCCTGGGAAATAGATTTTTTTTTTAACGCCACAGTTTGTGACCACATTCACCTAAAACAATAGAGACCCATCAAAGTTTATCATCTGGAGCTTGGCTCCACTGTGCAGGTTCATGGGCTTTGCGAGGATTGTTTTCTGCCAGAGATTTCTGTCCTGGTTGACTTGTCCTATCTTTTTTTTCCCCCAGCCTCTAAAGACAAAAAGATAAAGAAAGGGTAATTGGACTGTCCACTCTAAGTTGGGAACGTTCTCTCATGTGGCCCGTTTTCTTTTCTTTTTTTTTTCTTTTTTTAAGCCTACCTTAACTGAACAGTGGGCTCACAAAAGAACAAGAGTGAATTCAGCACATATGGGGATTAGAGATATTAAAGAGTAATAGCAGGGGAGGTGCGGAGAGCTGTAGGGTCAGGGCGTTGGCGTGGCAGAGGGATTACATAAACTCTGGCCTATCTGTGGTTCTACAATCTACTGTGGGGGAGAGGTGTGGGGAATATGTCTTCTTTTGAGCTTGTCTAATTCAGAATATTTGTATCTGATACATGAAAGAGCTTGCAGTAAATCAAACAAATGGAATGAATCAACTTACTAGATGATGACCTGTGTTAAACTGTAGCTGTGTTAAAACATGGTATTATGGATTACTGCGTGACTGTGGCATTACGTAGAAAACTAAATGAGATTCTGTCCCAGATAAGGCACCGGGACAGAAAACTCAATTTTTTTTTAACTCTCTGTAGGTGAAGGGTTATCGCGTGTACTACACCATGGATCCATCCAGGCCTATCAACGAGTGGCAGATCCATAATGTCCAGGACAGTTTGCTKACCACCATCCAGAACCTCAGAACCTTGGAGACCTACACCATCCAGGTCCTGGCCTTCACTTCTGTAGGGGACGGCCCCTTCTCAGACCCTGTTCATGTCAAAGTTTTGCATGGAGGTGAGTGAAAGCGCATCACCAATTAAATTTAAATTGTTTAAATTTAAATTCTACGACTGTAACTCAGGGTTGTTCTAATGCAGTGGTTCCCAAAGTTGGGGTCGGGACCCACAATGGGGCAGTGTTGTATAAAGTACCTCAAAGTAATACATGAGTAAAATAACAAGTATCTTATCATAAAAATACTTTGGTAAAAGTTAAAGTCTTCTCTAAAAATATTACTT